TGAAGCTTGGAACACTTTTTGTTCCCCTCACTCTCCTCTTCATAACGCTAGAAGGGTTTACCATTTTGTGTTGATTTGCCTTGAATTCAAGAGGAACGATCATCTTGTAAGGTAGGGGATGTTATAGGGTTATATTTTGTTTCTTGCATGCTATTGATGCTTATGTAAGTTGTATGCATATCTTTTGTTAATTTAAGAAATTAGTGATTTATCATATCTTGCATATAACTCATTTTAGACTTGGTAAATGGCATGGCCATGAGTTGATCTTTGATATATATTAAATTGGGATGGTTTAGATAAGTTTTCAAATTTAGAGATTAAATAGATTTAATTTGATTTAAATTCTAGTAAATTATATTTTACTTGTATTCCATTTTAGACTTGAGATATGGTATGACCATGATTTGGTGCTTGATATATATTAATTTGGGATCATTTGAATAACTTTTGAAATCTAGAGATTTAATTAATTTAAATTAATTAAATTCTATATGATGGTATCTTGCTCATTTTGCACTTTTGACTTGATATATGTAATGAGCATGCTATGTTGTTTAACATATATTAAATTGAGGTTATTTGAATTTGATTTGAAATCTAGAGAATTTAATTATTTTGTTTAATTAAATTCTATCTAATGGCTCCATGGATTTATTTGTGTTTTAGAAGTTATTTTTATATTCAAATCATGGACTTGGACTTACTGTGTGTTCACTTGTTTGTGTTTTGAGTATTGGATAACATTGTTATTATATTTATATTCATGAGAACATGTTTTCTTTATGGAATATATTGATGCATAGTATAATGAATTGCACATCTTGTAATTGACATTATATATATCATTTTAGAATTGAAAATTTAAGGCATGGATTGTGTGGTTTCAACCTACTTGTGCATGGAAGGTGGTTTTCGTGATTTTCTGGATGTGTTTCCAGAGGACTTGACAGAGTTGCCTCCACATCGAGATGTGGAGTTTACTATTGATTTGATGCCCGGTACCGCGCCAATTTCTATGGCACCGTATCGTATGACACCTATTGAGTTAGAAGAATTGAAGAGACAACTTGATGATTTGAGGATGAAAGGTTTCATCCGACCGAGTGTGTCACCGTGGGGCGCACCGGTCTTATTTGCTAAGAAGAAAGATGGTTCTTTGAGGTTGTGCATTAATTATCGGAAGCTGAATCATGCCACCATCAAGAATAAGTATCATTTGTCAATGATAGATGATTTATTTGATCAGTTTAGAGGAGCCAGTTATTTCTCGAACATTGACTTGAGGTTAGGATACTATCAGTTGCGAGTTAGGGATGAGGATATCCCAAAGACAGCGTTCAGTACACGGTATGGACACTATGAATTCTTTGTTATGCCTTTCGGCTTGACGAATGCGCCAGCAGCATTCATGGATTTGATGAACCCGCGTCTTGCATGATTACTTGGACCAGTTTGTGGTAGTTTTCGTGGACGACATTTTTGTGTACTCACGAACTTGGGAGGAGCACGAGGTCCATTTGAGTATTGTTTTACAGATTTTACGGGAGCACCGATTGTATGCCAAATATGAGAAGTGTGAGTTTTGGCTACAAGAGGTGAAGTTTTTGGGGCATGTTGTTTCAGAAGGTGGAGTATCGGTTGATCCATCAAAGATAGAGGCAGTTCTGAATTGGGAGCAACCCAAGAATGTGTTTGAGATCCGCAGTTTTCTTAGTTTAGCAGGTTGCTACCGAAGAATTGTGAAGGATTTTTCTCGTTTGACAGTACCTATGACCCGTTTGACCTGGAAAAGGGATCAAGTTTGGGTGGAATGAAGCCTGTGAGTCATCTTTTCAGGAATTGAAGACAAGGTTGACTACGATTGTAATACCCCTAATTTTAAAAGGATAGTTTCGGCATTTTAAATTATTGTTTTATTGCATTTTTGTGTAATTATTTTCTTATTTGTTTAATTGTTCAATTATTTATTTACTTGTGTATTTAATTTTCCTTATTTGATTAATTGGTTGTTTAGATGAAATATTTGTTTAATTGTTTTTTTGTGTTTGTTATTTGAATTAATTGTGTTTTTTTATTTATTATTTGCCTTTAATTGATTTATTGTAGTTGTTTAATTATTTAATTAAGTTAGTTGGATTAAATGAGTATTATAATTTACTTAAGGTTTTCTTTTAAAATTCACGTTGTGGCCGACTAGGATACAATTAGGGTTCTGTCTCTAATTATACATGGATTAGGGTTTTAGTTAGAATTAATTGTAGTTGTTTAATTATTTAACTAAGTTAGTTGGATTAAATGAGTATTATAATTTACTTAAGGTTTTCTTTTAAAATTCACGTTGTGGCCGACTAGGATACAATTAGGGTTCTGTCTCTAATTATACATGGATTAGGGTTTTAGTTAGAATTAGGGTTGTATGTTTCTAAGCCTATAAATACACCATTACGTTTTAGCTTAGAGTTTTGAAGAATATAACACAGAAACATAAACGTAAGGTTTGTTCACATAGAGAGGGTTGAAAGAATAGAGGCACAGTTAGGGCTACCAAGGAGGAAAACAGAGAGGACCAAGGAGGTGTTGTGGTGGATTAAACCAGAACAATAGGAGGCTTGACGGCATTCAGTAACTGCCGAAAACTTGGAGACGACGCCGAGATTTCATAACTGAAATCACAGGCAAGTTCTTTTCTTCCTCTCTCCCGTTGGCCTGTGTTCTGTGCACCCAGATAGTTTCTAGGAGATTAATTGGACATTAACTGAATTGTGCATGCTTATTATATGTTAAATTGAATATCTGTATGCGTTGAATTATCTCAGTTTCGGTTCTTGCAAGTTTTAATACAATGTTTAATTTTTAAGCATGTTTAATCGGTAAGTGGTCTAAGGTTCCTAATAATACAAACTGGTTTAAGTAATGGCCTGGGATTATACTGGACACAGTTAGGACTCTTAGAAACAGTTTTAAAAACCAAACAGAAAGGTTGGAAGTGGCCGGGATCAAAGAAGATAGTCGGAAACGCATCAGGCTCTCAGAGAGGGAGAGAGCCGGCTCCATGGAGGAGGGAGCCGACTCCCCCCAAGTGTAGAGCCAGCTCTAGGAGGTGTAGAACCAGCTCTACCCAGCTAGAGTCGGCTCCAATAAAGATTGGAGCCTACTCCACTTTTGTTTGGAGCCTGCTCTACAAGTTTAAGAGTCGGCTCTCTTATTTTCGCGAAAACTGGAATTTTGGGCACTGTTTGGGACAAGTTTGGTATTCTGAAATGTTTTTGGAATTGTAATGAGGGTTTTAAATGTAATTTCAAGAACTATTAAAACCTCATATGGCACAAATTATACCTATAGGCTAATGGATGGAACAGTAGAAAAGTATAAAACTTTGCATACTGTTGATGGCTGGAAGGAGCTTAACTCGGGTTATTAAGCCCTTGGAGTGTCCTTACACTTAGCACCCTAAAGCCATCCGGTTTGGGAGTTGATGGCCTAACACTTGCTACATGGGTTGGTTAGAAAGCTTAAGGGACTTAGGCATTGCGGTCATTCACGAAATAAAAAAATAAAAAAATATGGATCGTTGGAGTTCGTAGCCTGTTGAGTCTCGGGACTCCTCGAGAAGCCATTTTTGTGTCTTAGGGATGACGTACATCTCTCTAGACTTTCATTTCGTGTGAAAAGACCATTTTTCCCTTGGAGGCATACTTGGTCTATTTTAGATATTTTTCTTCCGCGTTAGTTCTCGTTGAGTTCCGTGGCCTAATGGAAGGTCGCTTTGGCGTCTTAGAGACGTATTGTATCTTTAGAGACCGTTGTTTCACCTTTCGTTTTTGTATTTTGGATCTGTTATCGGGTCATCTTTTGGTCATCACTGACGCACCGGGTTTACAAAACTTGGGAAATCACAATCACATCACACATATACACACCAATTAATACACATAAAAACACATCAACCAATTAAATCAATTAAGCACTTTATTATATACACGCATAGCCACATAAGCACATAACCACATAATTAAATAAAATAAATAATTAAATTCTCTTTCTATCATTTTGAAAACTAGGGGTATTACACAACAAGACCAAGTTCACACCGCCGCAACCAATAAGGCAGCAGATCGAGCAGAGGGTAACATATAATCTTAAGATTATATACTTTTTAAGTTGTATAGCTGTAACATCCTAAGATTTTTAAGTGACGACGATAGTTGCAAAATATGCATATTACGCAATTGTAAAACTTTAAGTTTCTCCATCACTTTAAAAAAGCTACATAGAATTTCTGATGAAAGCTTACGGAATTCCAACATTAAGGTGCATACTTCTGTACATTCGGAATCATCTGGAAGCACACATTCATCATTGAACCTTAATGAGATTATTTTGCATTGTTTATATTCATCCTGGTCTTGCCACTTCTGGACAATAGCCTTTACTAGAAACATGGCATCTTTCTTTTTTAATGCAATTGAAATCGCCACATCTTAAATGATATCATTCATTTTGGCAAAGTTTCCATCCCTACCATTTAATAACAAGTTAGATTCTTTAAGGATATCAATCAACGTACGCATTCGGTCTCTTGCTATTTCCATTGATGCTCTATTTGTGCCTTCAAGAAATCTCGTTCCTACTGTATATGTCACTAAAACATCAATAGAAATTTTAGTATCTTCTGGAAACAAACAGTAATACAAAAATCATGGTTGCAGATCTTCCAGCATTGGATCTTTCAGCTTCAAATACTAGTAGCTCAACTTTATGCACGAATAGAGTTTCTTTGACACTCCTGGAATATTATATCCCTTTGAATGTTTCAATTGATGAAGTGCATTATTCCACGTATGTATTTTTTTTCTTTCTGATAACGTAATGCTGTTCCAACAGTAACTATTGCCAAGGGCAAACAATCACATTCATTACACCCTTCTTCAGCTATATAATGTAGTTTAGGACGTTCGGTAAAATCTCCCACGGTTTTCTTGAATAAGTCCAATGATTTATGTTCCGAACAAGACCCCAATTTCGAACTCCTTTTCGGACATCCAAAGGCGCACCTCTTTTATCCGAGAGATCAAGATAATATTGCACCCCTTGGTGTGATTATCCACAGTGGTTATTCCAATGTCCTCCAACTTAATTTTATTATTCCAAATATCATCTACCATTACAAGAATATTTTTACCATTTCTCAATCTATCATATATTCGCGCCTTTCTCGCATTTTCAGGCTCTTCATTCAATTTCAGATTCAAACTTTTGGCAAGCTTTTGTTGAATATCTGTCAAAATTGGATTATGGGAGACAACTATCTCGGCAACCTCATCGAAAAGGCTCTCTTTTTGGGCTTGTTGGGAAACTTCTTCCATCATCCTTGTCTTTCCAACACAAGGCATTCCGTGTATCCCAATCTTGTAAGTCCCATCATCTTTTAGTGCCTTCATGATCTCCTCAAAAACAAACTCCATGGATTGAAAACTCTCATAGTTTATGCTATATGTCTTGTGCCAAATACCAGTGAGAGGATGTTGGTATCCAACATCGCCAAAATTGTTGCAATCTTCTATAAGCTTGGTAACGTCAGGCTTCTTCTTTTTTCCTTCCTTACCCAATCGGTACCGTGAGCAAACATCAAGACACTTGAGATTATATTTGCTTTGGAGTAATCTGCTCTTGTCATCTTCCATGCTCTGCGCTTTCCTCCGCCACTCCAAAACATCATCGTGAAGGACTTCGGCATTGTTCTCGGCTATCCTTGTCTGGACCCTTGCCTTGGTAAGGCTGAGTTTTTCAACTTCATCTGCAAAATCCTCAATGTTCTTCTTGCAGTGAACCAAATAACCAAATTGACGCCCGATGGATTTGTACAAGCCCTCTATGAGAGGCTTTAAAATCATTTCCACAATTTTATTAACATTGCCTTCAGACATTTTTAATTTGTTTCTTTTTTCTTCTCTCTCTAAGCAGACGATGCAATACAAAATACAGAGGAAACGGAAACAATAGGATTAAATAAGGAGAAAGCTAAGAAACTAAAGGAAGAGACTTCAAGAAAAACACACACAGTTTGATTTTGAATGACAGTCAGGTCCAAAAGCAAGACAAAGAAAAGTGAAGATTCACAAGGAAACACTCGAGAGATAGAGATACAAATTGAGGTGTAAGAAAGAGCCTATTTCAAATTGAACAGAAAAACTAAGAGAGTGGATGTGGGAAATTGCACACAAAGGAAGAAAAGAAATAAATTGCAAATTGTTTTCTAAGGGTAAATTTTAAAAACAAAATAGGAATTAGTTATTTTTTTTTCAAAAAATAATAACAATAAATTTTAAATCTTGTGAATCTTTTCCATCACAAGATGGGAGAGTGAATTGAGGATTATTACAAGTAACAAACAAAGGAAAAGGCAAAAGGATGCCATTAATGTTCTTGTCATGACTCATGGCACACTAGCACTGCATTATTGTTGTAGATATGGTAAAAAATTAGAGATTTAGGAAAAATATTTTATTATAATAATGGTAATTTGAATTCTTATACAACTAAACAAAAATTCATTTCTTTAGAATCCTTTAATCCATACAAAACTTATTTTTAATTTTTTAATTGAAGTTTTAAATCTTAATTTTGTATTCATCACAATTATTATGGAGAGAAAATTAGAAGTATATTTCAAAAAAAAAGAAAGTAAAAGAGATAAAAATGACAAATAAAAAAATATTATTTCTTGTTATGATACTATATTATTAAAGATTAAAATAAAAAGGCACGATTGATGAACTCTTCCTTTCATTAATTTGGTCTATACAGCACGACGCTTTATTTGTTCTTTTTTATCTTGAAATTATTGTAATTGAAAAAATTAAGTTGAAGTTTTAATAATTATACAGGAGCATCTTGACAATTAAAAAGCAAAATACAGTAACAATTCCGGTCTTTGCTTTTGCTTTCAGTTTGCTTTTTACCGCTTGGATGGACTTTTTCTAAATGAAGTGACATATTCACGTGGTGTGTCAGACTTTGGATTTACTTTTCCATCCAAAGGTCTCTCTAGCATCTGGATCTCCGATTCTTGTGCATAATATACAGTTACAAATAGTTTATTGTGGTAAGTGTTTTTCAAGGGTGAATCTTCAAAAAAAAAAAAAAAAAAAAATACATAAATGACATAAATGGAGTGTAGACTGTAGAGTAAATATTTTCTAAAATTAATAATGTTTTATTCTGGTAAAGTAAAGAATTTATATATACTCTTGTTATTAGATATAAAATTTAATCCATGTATATATATATATATATATACATGATTACAAAATTAAATATAAAATTTAAAAATTGAGAAAATAATATATTTTATTAACTTTTTATAGAATAATTAAAAAATATTTGCACTAAAATCTTGTATTTTATTGCATATTTTCAGGTTCATTGGCCAAAAAGAAGTAAGAAGGATGCTTTGTAGAGTTTTGAACATCAAAGGTCACAATGCTGAATTTCTGGCAGCAGTGGAACTTGGACTTTGCTCGCCATTTTGACCTTAAAAACTCGAGATCTGGACTTCCATTATAAAATGGCATATTTAGAGCTCTGAATTAGCTTTCTAAATCTTCAAACGGTTTGTCATTCGGAGCTCGGAGCAGAGAGTTATGGCCTTGTTACCAGAGGTGCGCAGAACTGCCTGGCAGCAATGAAATTCTGCCTTGATCTTCATTTTCGACCAACCATCCTTGAGAATTGGATCTCCACCAAAACATGAAGTATTTAAAGCTCTGAATTAGCTTTCTAAATCTTCAAACGGTTCATCATTCGGAGTTCGGAGCGCAAAGTTATGGCCATTTCATCAAAGTAGGTTTGGGCGGAGCAAGTGAAGCATGGAGCTTTTTACACTAAATTCGAGTGCTCGAGGCCTTGCTTCGAGTGCTCGAATTTTGGGCAGTTTACTCCACGAGACAGCCCACTTGTGCTCTGAAATTTTCAATTTTGGATGGCCCTCTTTTATGATGTGGTTGGGGATGTTTTTGGAGGAGAGAGAGAGCCTAGTTTGGTGGTAGATAAGAGGGATAAGAGCCACACATCTTAGAAGCTTCATTCTACAAGATTAGAGGAGGGAGAAGAGAGCAAAGAGGAGGAGTTCTTGAAGCTTCAAGGAGGAAGCTCGAAAATGGAGGGCAAAGCCTTGCTTCTTCCTTCATCTAGGGCCACCGTGGGTAACTAAACCTCTTCTAGGGAGGTGATGAAGCTCCATTTTGTAAGCTTTGCTTTGTTTTGATTTATATTTGGGGGTTAATATATGTATGTAATCCTTCCATGAACTAGAGTTTTTCATTTGATGTAATGAATTTCAGTATCTATACATAATCATCTTGAGTTAAATATCTTGTCTTAGATGGTTTTTCTCCTATAATTATATTGCTACATTTTCATAGTGACAATGGAATGGAGTTTATGGAAGTGTTGTTAATGGCATGATATTTAGGAGATTTGATAATCTATTGCTTAGGATCTTCCTTTGATAGATTATTCTTGGATTCTATGTCATGTGCTTCTACTATGTGATTAAGGGCTTGATAACTCTATGCTTAGTGAGTATGTCTAAGGTTACAACCTAGTTTAGGTAACCAAAACATGCAATGCTTTGATAGGTTATTCTTACCTATTGATTTCATAAATTTCTTGAAGGGAATGTAATAATTTGTGTTGTTGCATCCCATGGTTATACATATATGTTATTCTCCTAAGTAAATCATATCCTAGCATGCTTATTGATGGTTGTGGAGTCTCTTCCCTAGTCTCTTCTCTATTGTTCTATCTCATCTAATTCTTGCAAGTCACTATTGTTTTATGCACTTTAAATCCTAGTTTAGTGACCATCAAACAAACCCTTATTACCCCTTATCATTCTAAGAATAATTCTAGACACTTAGGTTGCCATAGACTAGCGCAGTCCCAGTGGTTCGATTTACCCGACCAATAGCCCTATTTTACAATGATTCGTGCTATTGCGAAGGTTGATGTTTAATTGACCAACCGATCAATTCTAGTGGTGATCCAATAAACTCGGTCAAGGATTGTGAGTGTACTGCAATTGGTGGATGACGTCAACGACTACAAGAAACTCTGACAACGGCAATGGCTTTACGGGTCCGGCGACTAAACCAGCAATTCCAACAATATAGTGGTTGTGATGATGTGGTGGTGATGAGTTTTGAGTGCTGGGCTCAAAAATCAGTATCAGAAGGAGATTAAAATAAGGTGGACTTCAAAATACAATTTCAGGGGAAAAAATAATAATGGTGGATATTCGTGATAAAGAACAGATTAGAGACACAATGGTGAGGAAGACGACAGTGAGCATATAAGCTGATGATTTAGTACAGGCCATCAATCGATGGCTCTGATACCATATTGAATATGTAGGGGTTCTTTTTTAACAATATAATAAATAAGTGTGTAATAGTGATATCAAAGATACAAATATGAAGAAAACAGAGAAGATGCTTGCTGAAGGAGGAGAAGAAGACTGATCCTCAAGATTAAGATGGTGGTAGGACAGATATACAGTACTTATGACAGCTCTTTTCTAGATTGGTTTCCTTTCATACGATAGTGCTATTTATAGGCTATAAAACATACTGGTTATTAACCAGCAGTCCCTCGCACGTCTCACTCCTAACCACGACCATATGAGTAATCCTGATGGACATAGGAGCCTAAGAGGTCTAATCTTCTCATCGAGCCATGCACTATGTTGTTTCTCCCTCATTTAGAGCATTAAATGCTCTTTGTTCTTACTTGGCCGTCAATTGGCCAAGTCTGTCATAGCATTAAATGTGATTTTATGGTTTGCTGCCATAATGTATATATTCCCATCATCTCGTTGATCGGGCCTCGCTGGGAGCAGAGGCACTTCTTGTAATACCCCTAATTTTAAAAGAATAGTCTCGATATTTATTTATTTGTTTTAATTATATTTTTAATTATTTAATTGATTATTTGACCAATTGCTTATGTGTTTAATTGAATTAGGTATTACTTGATTATTTGATTATTTGTCTATGTATTATTTGTATTTGTCTATGTGTTAATTGTTTAATTAGATTATGTGCTTAAATGGTGTTTTGATTAATTGTAAATTAAATGTTTTCTTTTATTTTATTATTTTATTTTATTTTTCTTTTATGGTTATGATTAGTAGTAATGGGCCAACTAATTGGGTCACATGGACTACTTGGATAGGAGGTTGGATGTGTATGGATTATTGCCCATGGATAGTTGTGCATGTATATATATAGATATATATTATATACATATATATAAAAGGGAAAGTAATATATTAATTACTTTTATGGTAACTTGGGTAATAATATTTAATCTGATGTATATGTTTTATATTTAAATAATAAAAATATACATAGATTTGATACGTGTTATGTTTTAAGTTACTTTATAATATTATAGTAACTGAAGTATTATTGGATAATCCATTAGTAAATAATGGAATGCGTATAATTTATTTATTTAATAAAGATATACATAAATTATATACGTAACATATTTTACTTACCTTTTTAATATATATAAAAGGGAAAGTAATTTATTAATTACTTTTATGGTAACTTGGGTAGTAATATTTAATCTGATGTATATGTTTTATATTTAAATAATAAAAATATACATAAATTTGATACGTATTATGTTTTAAGTTACTTTATAATATTATGGTAACTTAAGTATTATTGGATAATCCATTAACAAATAATGGGATGTGTATAATTTATTTATTTAATAAAGATATACAAAAATTATATACGTAACATATTTTACTTACCTTTTTAATATATATAAAAGGGAAAGTAATTTATTAATTACTTTTATGGTAACCTGGGTAGTAATATTTTATCTGATGTATATGTTTTATATTTAAATAATAAAAATATACATAGATTTGATACGTATTATGTTTAAAGTTACTTTATAATATTATGGTAACTTAAGTATTATTGGATAATCCATTAATAAATAATGGAATGTTTATAATTTATTTATTTAATAAAGATATACATAAATTATATACGTAACATATTTTACTTACCTTTTTAATATTTTATTTTTTATTTTTTTTAAGTTGACTTGGATGGGGAAAAGGGTTAGAGTTATTTTATTTAGCCTATAAATATATAGTTATAGGTTGTAAAAGGGGGTTAGAAATATTCACGTGATATATGCTAGAGAGAGAGAGAAAGTTAGAGAAGGAAGGAGGAGAAAAACCCTATAGAGAGAAGATCAAGGAAGAAGAAGTTTAACTTTCGATCCGAAAGTTTAAGGCAAGTTCTTCTTCTATCTCTTTCCCTTTGATTCGTGTTTCTGTACATGCCTAGGAAATTCCAGAATTTATTAAACACATAAAATTAAATAATTATGCATGTTTAATTGGGTTAGAACATAGGTTTTATGAAATTGGTTCATAGCTGTTCTTGTGTTATGAATTGATAAAATGCATGATTTTGATTTGATTTCTTATTTGAATTTTTACATGTTTAAATTATGTATTTTTCATATCTGTGGAATGATGGAACGTAGAAACATGCCTAAGATTCTTGAACATTAAATAGGGATTAGGTTTGGGTTTTAATAAATTTAAATAGACTCAATCATAATGATGCTTGCTATTTGAATGTTGCTATTTGAATGTTTTAAACAAACGAATGGATTTAATCTTTTAAAATATTTTAGCAATTGAGATAAAATGTGTAGGATGAATTGGATATGGAGAATCCTTATTTAATGGTATAATAAAATATCATCATGTATAAGATTCAGTTTGTGTAGGACATATGATATAGGAAGTTTAAAGAAATAATAAGTCATTCCTATTATGTGATAACTTGATATCATATTTATCATAATTATTTATGGAATGTTTGATGTATTTCCTTAATTGTTACATTAATTGTTGGATTGTGTGGTTTAATGCACCGGTATGGGACGGTGGCATTCTAGGGATGGATTAACTTATTAGTTAAGTCCTACCTATTTTATATAAGGGAATGGATTAACTAAAATGTTAAGTCCTACTTATATTTAAGTCAGGTCAGCTGAACAAGTTGAATGACTTATGGATGATTAATTTATTATATAAGTGAATGGATTAACTAAAATGTTAAGTCCTACTTATATTCAAGTCAGGTCAGCTGAACAAGTTGAATGACTTATGGAGGATTAATTTATACTGGATAGGATGGTTACTAGATTATATATATATAAGAATGGTGCCATGATATGAGCTTGAGTCTCAGGATCAGTGGTTAGGGTACATATATTGCCAGGGATGTGTAGCTAGATATAGTGTAGTTGTGTACCCTGGTAGGTCTAGGTACTCATGCCCACTATATGTGCGTTTTGCATGTTGCCTACTATTCAGGTTGAGACAACCCTATAGTCTAGTGAGGTTCCTTTAGTGTGTATATATATATATACGGACTACTAGTTACTGTTGGATTGACTAGGATGTATATGTGTATCGGATCTCTGCTTGGACTGTAGTAGAGTAGAACTTGTTTGTGGGCCTGACCCACTATTATTTTTCAAGTGTTCGTCACGAGTAGAGGTTGTTCGTGCTGAGCGGGGATCAGTCTACTTCATTCTTCCGATGCTACATAAGAGTTCCTTTATGATTCAGTTTCCTGTTTTAGATTACTGTCATTTGTTTAGTTTGGGTTTTCTAGGGGTCCACACAGTTTGGATTCCCGAGTTGTATTTTGGAGGATCAGTTGTATCAGAAGAGTTTATTAATTAATGGAAATATATTATGAGGTTTATTATTAGATTATCATTTTAGTTTCTTGTCAGCATTTTATTTATTCTTCTTTATTCTTTTGTACTCTGTGTTCGTTTATTATCAATTTGTTTTGATATCCTCGAGTATTCGGGCGTGGGCCTGGCCAACCCGCATTCGGAAATCCGGGGGTATCACACTTCTTTACTTCTCATCCACCAGTCCAAGATCCTTCTAAGTTTCCCAAGCTGAGATGCCACATAGCTGAAAAGGCCCTACCTTCGTTTTGTGTTATATTCAAACTTATAAAGATATGGTAATTTGTAGGCAAGCTCTCTGGGGCTTTAATACCTCGAGGTACTGTAAGGTTCGAAGAGGCCTGTATGCTAGACCCTCGAGTGCTGGCCTTTTGCTGGGGTTTGTAATGCTCGAGGTTCAGGTTCTCCCTTGTGTGATGCCAGGGTTTGGGTTGCTCGAGGGCTGGCTTGTCAAGGCATTGTTGATTTGGTGCGTTGCTAGGGTTTGAGTTGCTCGAGGGTTGATTCCTTAAGGCTTGTTTACCTAATGCGTTGCCAGGGTTTGAGTTGCTCGAGGGTTGGTTCCTTGAGGGTTGTTGACCTGATCGAGTGTTAAGTTTTCGAGGCTTGATGGAGTAGTGTGATGCCAGGGCTCGAAGATTAAGCTCTTGAGGCTTGGTGGTCTGGTACGATGCCAAGGCTTAGGACACTCGAGGGTTAAGTCCTCAAGGCTTGGTGGCCTGGTACGATGCTAGGGCTTCAGATGCTCAAGTGTTAAGCCCTCAAGGCTTGGTGGCCTGGTGCGATGTCAGGGTTTAATGTAATTTTTTGACTTTTCAACTTGCCACGAAGTCCTAGCAGAGGTTGTGTTGACTTTTCAACATGCCATGTCAACAGTTGGTAACGGACACCCACAAGAATATAAGAGAGAGACAATGAGAGAGATACAATATAGGTTCTGTTTATTGATATATCTTAATCATATACAAATGGATAAATATATATAGGCTAGTGAACAAGTGAATGACGGCTACAATCACGGTACAACAACTATAATATATATGAAACAACCACGGTACAACTATTGTAATATATATGATGGTATTATTATGTTAACAAGAATGGACAATCGGTTCATTTGATGTTGAAACTGATAAAAGCGTACGTGGAGAATCCGAAATGGTCAACTGGGTGGCCGGAGAATCTCCTGGTGGTGGACGGAGTCTGACGTTTTCGGGGAAGTTGAGTATGGCCTTGTTGCCCCTAAACTTGAGAGCTGCTTCATCATAGGCTCTTGCAGCTCCTTCAGCAGTGTCAAATGTGCCTAACCAAACCTTAGCAGCTTTGTATGGGTCTCTAATTTCAGCTACCCACTTGCCCGATGACCTCTGTCTCACTCCTCTGTATTTCCTCCTTGGCTCTCCTAGATTGTCATATGTGGGAGTGTATGTATATGCAATCTCTGTTGTTTGTGTGTTTGTTGTCCTAATGCTTGAACTTTCTGCAACTGCAGAATTAACTACCAAATAATTAAAAGAGGGATTTTGAAGATTCAGGGTATTAGACAAGTACTAAAACATTAATCCCTCTACCACTTTATATTAAAAAAATATTTTTTTTATCAAATAAAAGTTAATTGACACAATTTAATATATTTTATATTAAAATAATTTTTATTAGCATTTAATATGTAGCATTAGTATATAACATAAATAATATGAATTTTTTTTTAAAATGAATAGTGATTGTGTAGTAACAATAGTGAAAACGTTTGTGAGGCCGAAGAAACACCTTTTTTTTTTTTTATGTTTTCTCTTTTATTCACAAAAATAAAAAACTTTTTTTGTCATAGAAAAAATATATATATTATTAAACATGAATTTTTTTTTTTTTTTTTTTTGGCCTTTTAAGAAATTAACAACATAAAACAAAAAAAATGTTTCAGGTTACCAAAGGCACCCTAACAAATTAGTTAAGCCATATACAGTGATTAAAAAAAAAAAAAAAAAGATGTAGCAATAACCACTAAACTAACTTAAGTGAAAGTCACGTGTCACATGGACAGAGTCACAGAGGTAGAGAAACAGGTAGAGAGAGTTTAAAGCTTACCTCTCAAGTTAGAAGATGAGCCTCCTGCTGAAAAGTCAGTATATGGATGATAATATGGTCTTGAAACTGATTCAGATAACTGCCCAATATCATCCTCTATGCGTCTTCTCTTTCCTCCAACACCCCACATACAATCATTATTATTACCACCACCACCTATATACTCCTCCTCTTGATCATGTTTAGCAAAATCTTCACCCACCTGATCACCAGACACCACATGGGTCAGAGTTGACATCTCTCGCTCTCTGTTGTGCCCCAAAAACATCGGCAACACCGACTCCAAGTTCTCCAACAGCCCAACATTATTCCCATCTTCTTTAATTAGTCCTCTGCCACTAGCTCCAATTCCATAGTTGTTATCTGAATCTGTTAGGCCTAAACCCATGGTCTCATCGAGGGCGTTGCCAGCTGCCATAGCCATTGACACAGTGAGAGAAGAGAGTAAAATATGACTATTTGAAGTAACACAGAGCGTGCTTTTGTTGCCATTGTACCAGGCATCAATGAGGCGTTTCAGGATCTCCATTTGGGCCTCCTTTTCTGAGGCCACAGCTTCAGGGTTGAGAAACAAAGGGCTATCGATATTTTGGTGATGAGATTTATATGGCACCAAATTCAGAGGCTCATTCCTTGTCAATGGTGTATTATTGATCTGCATCAAATGCTGCAGTTGTTGCTCAGATGTATCACTTCAATATCCAAATATAAATCAGTAAATCAACCAAACAAAACTACCCAAATCAAGCAAACACAACTTTCTTAACAGAACTACACAAATCAGTAATCATTTGAACTTCAAATATTTTCTTTTTTGAAATGCCCGGACAAAATTGGTCCAATTGAAGTTCAAATATTGGTTAAATTCAACTGGTGCACCAGTGCATAAACAATAATAATCTTTTTATAGCTAGTGGCGGAGTATATATAAGAATTAAAAAAAAAAAATTATGTAACTTGGTGAAAGGAAAGCAAAAGAAAAATGAAAAAGAGAAAAAAAAAACATTAATTCTAATAAGTTGAAAGAGAAAACAACTTTAGCTTACAACAGACCTAATTCAACCTTCATTTTCCTCCCTCTTCGGTTCCATCTGTCCCTCTGATTCTTCTTATTTAAGCCGACATAGAAGAGTCGGTCTCAGCTAGCCAGCCTTATCTAAAGAGCGGACTGACTTCAAGGAAGGGATAGAAGAGTTGCAACAGAAGAGCAAAGGTCTTCTAGTACAAAACAGATCTTCTTTATTTAACACAGAGCTATCCAGCAAGTACGATCGAAGAACGCTTAATAAAGGCCTTAAGGCGGTAGATGAGGGATTCTGGTTACAAGACTTCATAGATCATGAACTCATATATTTGTGTGTATATATATATATATTTGAAAGGTTAACGTTGGTGGCTAAAACTCAGCCTACCTTTGTCAAAAATGACTGCATCCACCCATTGGTTGGCAAAAGTGCAAACAACTACCTTGAACTATCACAAATCAACATTTTACCCCCTTGAACTATAAAAATGAACAAGTCAGTACTACAACTATCCAAATGGTACAAATTAACCCCTAAAACGCAATTCCGACCACTTTTCGGCCGACCTCATTGTAGATTTACAAAACTACCCATCGTAATTAAGAAAAAAAAAATACGAAAATAAATAATAAACGTGAAATACCCTCAATGCCCCTCATGATATACACTCAGTTTTCCCACGCATACACTCATGACCGAGACAACAGTAAATCACCTGGGCAAGGAGTAAGGATTGAAACACAATAACTAAAACAATGAGACTGAAAAGTGAAAGGGCATGCCATTCATAGGGTAAGTTACACTGAAGCAATGATAAGAGGAAAATGACAACTAAAATCTAGAATAAACCTACAACTAAAATCTAAAATCTAGAAAATGACAACTAAAATCTAGAAAATTAATCATGAATGGAAAAAAACAACAGAAGTCATCAAAAATGAGTATACAATTCAACCTCCAATTAAAACCCAAATCCGAAAAACTTTTTACTGATAAACAATAACCATGATTGGATCATCTAAATCTCCAATATTCTATAAGGCAACACTTGAATTTTCAAAGATTAAGCTTCCACTAGTTGTATTTCTACAATCAAACAACCAACTAAATCAAAATCATCAAATACTAGCTTGTGATTTACATGCATACAGAATCATTAAGGTTTAATAATCAAAACAAAAACCCTAAATTGAAATTCAATAACTGATCAAAACCACAAATCAAAAAATTGAACACTCTTGAAAGATCGAAGTCGAACCAAAGCAAAACATAAACGAAACAATTCAATTCAGAAAAAAGTTTTCAATCCAATCTGTACCTGAAATATGCGAAGTTTTTATCAACTATGCTCCGTTACTGATAGTTTTGGAGTATTATCCATCATTGCCGCTATCTCTCTCTTTCTCTCTACAAGCTCAAATAGATCTTCCTCTCTCCTTCCCTAGTACACACGTGTGTGTGTATATATATATATATATATATATAATACAGAAAAAAAAAACACACACACACATATCTATATATGTATATCTTTCCTTAAACTTTGTTCTTCAAATTTGTCTGAGTGTTTGGTGCAAAGGTGGAGCAAATTAGAGGCCAGATGGAAGAAGGAAAATGAACAAATGGGTTCATTTACAGGCAAAGGGTTACAACGGAAATTTTTCAAGGCAATTTTAGAATTAAAAGAAAAGGACAGTCACGTGCTGACCTTATGGGCCGGAAAGTGGCCGGAATTGAGTTTCAGGGGTTAATTTGCACGATTTGTGATAGTTGAGGTACTAACTTGTTCTTTTTTGCAGTCCAAGGGGGCAAAATGCCGATTTGTGATAGTTCAGGGGTAAAACGCGGAAGTTCATCCTCACCTAGCTTAACTTGCTTACTGGCAAAACTCTGATAAAACTGCAAAACCTTTGGGTGTGCCTTAACCTTTGAGGGATTGAAACCGGATATATGAAGGCCATCTAAGCTTCTCACGTGAGAAAGTGCAACATAGACCATCCCACAACCTAAAGCCCTAGATAGATCAGTGTGAAGACTGTCAAGTGTCATGCCTTGACACTTGTGAATGCTTATCGCCCAAGCCAATATGAGAGGGATTTGCTTTCGCGTGGCTTTAACTTGTTCACCCTCCATTACTACCCATCTCTCTGGATAAATCACCAGCTCAGGCCCTGAATCAAATTTAACTACTGGCAATAGTCCTTTGCGACACATTTTCGTAATATCCTTATCATCGTATGACTCGTAGAAACTTATAACTGTGCCGGTGGCACCATTCACCAATTTACGCCCAACATTTAAATTCTTACTCAGCATGACCCTTGCCCCTTCACAGACTTCAAGTGTATTGGGTGCTGTCCCCTGTTTGAGCTGCTTCTTCCAAGGGTCCTCACCACTTTCAATAGCAAGATATTCAACAGTTTGCTCACCCAAGCTCACCATTTGCTTATCGTTCACTCTATTCACATCTTTATTCATAGGGTAGAACCGTACCATAGAAGAATCTGGCTCTGTTTCCAAGGAACATTGTTCTATGAGCTTCAAGTCTTCCGGATCACATTCTCTTCTTCTTATACCTTGAAGCAACTTGATTAGTTGTCCATCCGACTGCCTAAAAATTTTCATAAGTTCCACCTGCACATTAAAGCTTGAATTCCAACAATCGGCCTCAAATGCAAATTCCTTTCCCCCTTTTAGTTTCTGCTTATCCAGAATGGGTGGTAACTGAAAGAAATCTCCACTCACAACTAGTTGTATTCCACCCCACACTATGTTTTTAGATGCATGTTCATCATCTCTGGTCTCTCTTGCAATGTATTCAAGTTTATCAAAAAAAACTCAGCCTGGACCATGCTAATTTCATCAATAACCAATGCCTTAACTCTATTCCACCTCTTGTAAGCCCTCTCATCCAAAAGAATCCTATTGAGCAAAGTTTTGGAATCGGCCGCAACAAGCCCAACCCCGGCGAATGAGTAAAGGGTCTGCCCCTCAAGAGCACAAGCAACCACACTAGTGGACGCCGTCACTAAAACCTGAGATGGGCCGTGAATTTTGTTGAGCAATTTGATGATATGGTGGACTAAAATGGTTTTTCCAGTACCTGCAGAGCCGGTGACGATAACCGACTCGCCCCTGGAAATGGCAGCCAACACTTGTGACTGTTCGTCAGTCCACTTAATTCTGCTACTTTTAGGGGTTGTGTGGTTATTTCTCTTGTTCTTGTAACTAATTCGAGGCCATTTTGTGCTTTTGCTAGTGGTTTTGGCGCTGAAGTATCTGTATACAGATATTTCAGACATGAACAACTTCATTCTTCTACTCTCTCTCTTCCCCCTAAACGAACTCTTATCAGACAAGAACAACTTCGTACTAGATAACAAACTATCATCAGACAAGAACAATTTCACACTTGATACTAAAACACACTCTCTCTGAAACAAAGTCTCAACTCTTCTGGGTCTTCATAATTTCATCCAACAATTGGGGTTTCATTGAGATGAAGGATGATAATGGTGACAAAATCAGTGGAATTTGTTGTCATTCAAATGATGATTTTAACAAATTGGAATAAAACCAATACATAATAAGAAGAAGAAGAAGGAATTGCTTACAAAGGGGAGTTCGGTATCGTTTTCTTCCTGGCTTTCATTTGGATGTCAATTGATGAACCGATGTTGCTTCCATCTTCCCCTGTCCTTTTTCCGAATAAAATGTTCCGCAGGCTTTGCTTATTCCAAGGCCGCGTTTGTTTTCCGGTGATCGATAGGGATTGGACTATCCTACCCTAGAACCGGTTAATCCACCCTGGGCTTTACCAATTATTTGTTTCTTGTCGTTTTTTCCTTCAAAAATTTTAATTTCAATACCAAAAGAATAGTTTATCTAAATAAAAGAATCGAAATTGAAAATTATTTAAAAATGAATTTCAAACCCTATAAAAAGAATAGCATATTTCTAATTAAATTCATTGAATTTCAATGCAATGGAAGGACGACCAAGACATTTTCAGATTCATAATTATCCAGCACACGACAAAAAGTAAGGTCTATTAATGAATAGTAAAAGGCTGTCAAAAGCAGATTCCTTCACATATCATGAATAGAGAAAGGTTGTAAAAAACGGATATCTTGACATGTCATGAACAGAGAAAGGTTGTAAAAAACAGATTCCTTCATATGTCATGAATAGTAAAAGTTACCTTATTTTTTGTATAAATTTCGATAATTTGTAAACAACAAGGCATATTAACTTTCCTTATTTTCTCTCTCTCTCCCCTTTTGTATTTCTCTTTTGAGTTTTCTACTTTTCGCTTTGTTTTGTAATTGGTATCAGGTTTCTCTCTAAGTTTTACATCCATATAGGAATGGTTCAAATTAAGATCACTTTTCTTTTCTGAAAAGGAACAGGTCAACCCATTCTTGTCTTGGTCATGGATAATAGACTTCACAATCCAATTGAAGCACTAATTGGTGGTGTTCAATCCAATCTAGTCAACAATGCATTTGGTTTAAACTAAAGCCGAATTACTTTGTTTCAATTGATGATTCAAATATCAAAAAAGTTTTGGAAGTCAAAATCAAACTTTTGGATCTCAAAATGGACCATGATTCCCTTAGTTTAGGGATTCAATGGAAAGTCCTTAAAGTTCCTGAAACCTTGACTCACAAGATTAACTCAAAATTAGTCACTCTATTCGAACCAAGGCCCTTTGATTCAATAATTGAACCAAAATTATTGAAATGGACAAATCTTGAAATACCAAGAAATTGGTTATTTGAGGATGTTACCAGAGAAAGACGGTTGACAAAGTGAAAAATATAAAACTTAAAAGAGAAATACAAAAAGGAAGAGAGAGAGAAAATAAGGAAACTTCAGATACCTTGTTATTTACAAATCATCGGAATTTATACAGAAAATAAAATAACTTTTACTGTTTATGACATGTGAAGGAATTTTCTTTTTACAGCCTTTTATTGTTCATGAATAGACTTGACTTTTCGTCGTGTGCTGGATAATTATGAAGTCATTTAAAAAAGTTTTGGTTATCCTTCCATTACATTGATGAGATTATGGAGTTCATACTTATCTAAAGGTGGTGTGCTGGCCGAACTTTGATTAAACTGGTTTAGCCAATCAATATCGGTTTATTCGACTCCCATCAAAATGTCTTATGGGATATCGATTTTCAGCTCTTTGATGTTATTAGTAGTTGGGATAGTCTACTAACAGCTGTGTGACAAAAAGTCTTCTTCTGTCACAGACCATGAAAGGTGCTTGAATAGTGTCTCTTATTATGATGGCTTTATATTTAAGGCTATATCATGTTGTTGATAGCAATATCGATCTGACCAAGTTTTTTTGTTATTTCTAATGAATTTAGCAATGTTTTATGCTTAAATTCATTTTCTTCTGTTGTTTTGAGAAACCATATTTGATATGGCTGAATTTTTTTGTTTTTTTTCTTGCCATCTGATAGAGCTAAAGATCGAGAACGTCATGCTTCTGCTCCATTTCCAGTAAAAAGTAGTCTTTAAGTGTAATACCCCCTAATTTCATAACACAGGTTGATCAAGTTTGCGTACAAAACCAGAGAAATATCAAAACAATTAAAGTAGTTCAAACAAGCACAGAGTACAAAAAGAAATGAAAAGAATAAATAACTCGCTGAAGGGAATCTATTAAATAAAAGTTTGATTAATAATTCTCCAAAATTTACAACTCGGGAATCCTGTAACTTAAGAACCCCTTAACCAAAATCCATTATCCAGAAGTTCATTATTAAATACTAACATCAAATGAAATGATAATAATATCCTACTTTTAAATAAACTGAAATAATGGATAAGTCCTTCAGATGCGGATCCTCAACCTTTAGACTTGGAACTTCTTCTAATAACCTGAAAAATAAATCGCAAGTTAAACCCTACGAGCAAGCTTTCTCTACCAGGCCTCTGAAAACTAATAAAAAAATCATCTCTGACCAAAGCCAATCCTAATAAAGCTTTTATCTTTAGTACACCATGATACGCATATATATATAATTATATATACTACATTAGCCACATCTATTACTAGTTTCACTAAATTCAAAACTATTAAACAATGATTAAATTAACAATCATTCCTAGACCAATCCTTAATTCATATTTCTTTTAAAAAAGAAACTCTCTTGACCATAAATCCATTATAGACAATTATTTACTCGTGACACCCCCAACATTTTCCACGCATAAGTTGATCAGGCTTATACACGAAAAACGAGGGATATCAAAAACAATTGGCAATATACAAGCATGGAATACAACATGATGATAATAAAAGAATTTAGACAGGAAATGAACACTAAATAATACAACATCCATCCATCCTTTATTTAAATACAGTACTCCATTACATACTTGGAAATCCTATATCAAGGATCCCTAAATATAAACCTAAGAGTTCAACGTCAAAAGTAAATAAAAACTAAAACTGAAGTAATACATAAAACTTCTACCCTGAACTGGATCGTAAGAGTAGATGAGTTCGGATGGTGGTCCCACACTGCTAACCTCAACCTTGGAACGGATACTGACCGTATCCTAAAATAACAACAATGGTGGGTCAACCCCACGAGCAAGTCCTCTCTACTATGACCCAAATCAGAGAATCAAATAAATTAATTATTTATATCTGGATGAGTACTATATCTGTATACATCCTAAGGGAACTATCCAATGTATAACATGACCTCAACCAGAATAGACGGTGATCACTTAGACTCACACTAGGTGGTTAAGTGTCGCCTTTCCCTACCCGGGAAATCAGCTATTATACAAGGTACATGTTACTGACAACACAAACTGTAAAGACTACACAGTAATAACACATCTCAATGTACTAATGAGTTACTGAGCATAACAATTAGGCACTACATGCCAATAATAATACTAAATATACTGAGTATGTTAATTAGGCAACACATGCCAATAATATGAATAAATATACTAAGTATATCAATTAGGCAACACATGCCAATAATATTAAACCACATACCCCGACAGCCACACATCTGTCTATAGCAACGAATGCATAAGGTATAAATGAGTCTAAACTTATTAGCCAGCTCACATGGTTCTATATGGCAACACATCCATATAATATAAATGCGACATAATAAACAGTCCATTTATTCCCTGAAATGCACACAGCATAATAATCATGGTTTATATACGATTAACAGTATAAATATTCCATAATATATAATGGGTTATTTATATGAATAAAACCAAGCACTAATTAATTTTACATTAATGGTTATTACAGTTTAATAAAATAATACCATTAATAGTCGTTAAATTAATTACATATGTTTACTAGCGATTCGCACTTTAACTGATACAATTAATATTTAGAAATATTAATCGGACAATTTATAATAGTTAACGAGAAATAAAATAATAATATAATGTCCCGTTAATTCCAAAAATGCCAACCCGAGGCCCCAAAATGTATAGTGAAGGTCCTGGTAATGACAAAACAGTCCCTAGGGGTATTCTGGACTTTTCCAGCAGCTGCAGAGGCCCTTCACGCGCCCCCACGCGCCTCCCAGAGCTCCCCACACGCGCCGCCAAGCTTTCCCACGCGTGCACGCTCTCATACGCGCCGCTACGCGCGTGTGGCATCCTCCACGCGCGCGCACGCGCTCCCACGCGCGCACTAAGCCCCCCCTGATGACGTGGCTCTTCCTAGTTCGCTGGCTGCATCATCCTGCTATGGGCGCGCTACACTGAATCATCTCACCCTATCTTCACTCAATCCAACGCTCATAGATCCGGGTGTACCGCGGTAACATGGACCGCGGTGCACCGAATCAATCGCTCCTGTTAATGGCCCAGATGCGCGCGCATACCCTCCTATGGTGCGCCGTATCACACCGGATCACTCCGGTCATCTCCCCCATTGCCGGTGACCGGAAAACTCGCCGGAAGGTCGCCGGAAATTACAGAAAAGCCCAGGAAAAATCTAGAAAATTCTAGAAAAATCCCTAAAGCCTTATTTAATTATTTTCAGCCATTATTAATTTCATAGGATATTAAATAAATATATACCATCCTATATAATTAAAATTTCATTAGTTTAATAAACTAAAATTAATAATTTATTAACTTCATAACCTGGTCTCTATGCATGAAAATTAACTAAACAATTAATTTATTAATTCAAAGGGGAAAAGTAGATAATAACTTGCCTTTTTGGATTTAAAATAAATCCGCCGGTTGCGCGTAGTCGGGTAAATTTCTCCTACCCGGTCCAAGCTCCTTTCTTTCTCTCTCACATTTCCACACTTTTACAATGGCTCACTAAAAGTTATAATTTTTTTCTAACTCCCTTCCATTCCTTCTAAGGTAGGCTAACTAATTTATATACAATTTATATAATATAAATATTACAAATATCTAATTTTTACATTTACTAACCACTTTCCCAACTATATGGCTTCAAGTCTACCCATACACATTAATGAAATCATATCCTAATCTCTAATTTCATCATGACATTGTGATTTAATACTATTATTATTATTATAACTATTATTATTATTATTACTAATATTAT